ATGATTACAATTTATAAAAACAAATTTTAGTTTTGAATTTAGTTAATTTTTGTTATAATTAATGTTTTTAATTATTTTTTATACATATAAACTTAACTATTTCTCATTAAACTTTGTCTTTAATAGTTTTTTGTTATTAAAATAATTTTCTTCGTTATTAATTTTTAGAAATATGTTTATTCAAAGGCTATATTATATATTTGGATATTATAGTTATACAAAGTTTGTAATATTGTTTTTTATGAACTATATATGTTGTCTATTAAGAGATTTTTTTTTCTTTTCCNTAAAAACTATTCCATTTATTTGGTATACAAGTTGCTTAACTTTAATTATAGATAAATTATATTACAATTAGGTGGGTAAGGATAATAGCTCGGGTATCCAGCGGATCAACGAATTTTTACCGGGTACCCGTTGAATGGAGTACTCGTTTTTTGCAAGTCAGATAAATGTATTATTTTTTAAATATCCGTTAGGGTTGGATCGGGTAACGGGTACTCCAAATTTTCAGAATACCCGTCATATGCCCAGCCCTAATGTAAATGCATTAAATTTTATGCCTTAATGCGGTGCTTTAGTTTTTTTTTTTAAACAAGTATCAGAAAACTATATTAATAAACGGTGATGGATTTTGCAGATGAGAGTTACTTGACGAAGGAGTACTTAGACACTGTTATTGATTGCATACCGTCGATGAAGAACATGAAATTAAAGGACATTCCTAGCTTCGTACGTACCGCTAATCCTGATGACATTATGCTCAATTTCCTCCTCCGCGAGACTGAGCGAGCCAAACGTGCATCTGCTATCATTCTCAACACATTCGATGACCTCGAACATGAAATCCTCCTGTCTATGCAATCCATTTTACCTCCGGTTTATTCAATTGGACCTCTACATCTCATAGCAAACAAGGAGATTGCAGAAGATAGCGAGATTGGAAAGATGGGATCAAATTTATGGAGAGAGGAGACAGAGTGTTTAGATTGGCTCGATACTAAGTCTCGAAACAGTGTTGTTTACGTTAACTTTGGGAGCATAACGGTTATGACGGCGAAACAGCTTGTGGAGTTCGCTTGGGGTTTAGCAGGAAGCGGGAAAGAGTTTTTATGGGTGATCCGGCCGGATTTAGTAGCCGGAGAAGAGGCGATGGTTCCGCCGGAGTTTTTAAAGGAGACGGCCGATCGGAGAATGCTGGCGAGTTGGTGTCCTCAAGAGAAAGTCCTTTCTCATCCGGCGATCGGAGGGTTCTTGACGCATAGTGGATGGAACTCGACGCTAGAGAGTCTCTCTGGCGGAGTTCCGATGGTGTGTTGGCCGTTCTTTGCAGATCAACAAACAAACTGTAAGTTCACTTGTGATGAATGGGAGGTTGGGATGGAGATCGGCGGAGAGGTGAAAAGGGAGGAGGTTGAGGCAGTGGTTCGAGAGCTTATGGATGGAGAGAAAGGAAAGAAAATGAGAGAGAAAGCAGAAGAGTGGTGTCGCTTGGCGGAAGACGCGACAGAGCATAAGCTTGGTTCGTCTGCGGTAAATTTTGAGACGTTTGTTAACAAGGCTCTTCTGGGACAAAGAACAGAACGAGGCCATGATTAGTTAAAACCATGAAATGGTCGTTGTATACTTGTATACATAATTTTTCTTGTTTCATCGTTTGGAATAAAATTGGTTTTTTTCAATTAGTTGACTATCCTTAGTACGTAAAGAAAAGATTGATTGAGGTACTTGTTAATAAGTATTGGAGGAAAAAGTATGTTATTCAAAATATACAAGAGAAAGGGTCCTCTGAGGTCATAACTTGAGTTAATCATCTTAACATGAAATGGAAAAGAATTCAGAGTACAGTTCCACCTTTATATAGTGTTAACTATGCATTTGTTCTTCTTCGTTTTTTTTACAGACATCCGAGAAAATGTGTGAACAAATGGTATTCATTGAAAGATGCCGAACCAAGTGATAAGGTGAGAATCAAATGAGGTTGCTTTTTTTGTGGGATATTGTATGCATCGTGAGGAATTTTTAACGCACAGACTTTTTTTTTTTTTGGTAAACCAGGAGGTAATCCGGGCTTTTACCACCCGACTAATCTCCCCACGATGACTGTAGCCATCGAGTAGTCCACTCACCAAGTTTTCTAATGGGTCGAAAGCGTATCACCACTTCGACTGACCGAATGGGAGTGGTTAGACAATTTCATGTTTGAGGCAAATTGAACTCTGAGCAATTCCTTCCTCTGAGAACTATTAACGCATGACAAAACATAGAAAGAAAATTATCTTTAAACGAATTTGACAGGACAAAATAAAGAAAGAGAAATATTAACATTATAGAAATTTTTTTTAAAAATAAATTATAGAAGAAATATCGTTATAATTTCGCTAGAAATGCTTTCAAAGAAGCTTGTCTTCATATTTTCTTTTAATAGATTCTGAATTGCTTTCCACAGTGTAATAGATTTTTTCAAGTCTTGCTTTGTGGATTTTTTTGGTCTTTTGACTTTTATTGGTCGCTGTTTTTCTTATTGTGTTTATCTTCTATCAATAAACAATTAGGGGATGTCCCTGGTTACATCCGGGGATATTGGTTATAGAATTTTTTGCTATTTTGGTATGATTAAAATGGTAGTATAA